ACATTTTATTTATATAGCGCTTTTCACAAGTATGAGGGAGGATAGACAAACAAGGACAGGCAAATACATAAATATAGTAAAATAAACAAAAAAAAGGCAATCAAGAGGAAGTTGATTGAGAGGGGGGGGGGGGCTTATGGGTTAGAGTTCTAGGTTATATAGGCGGAGCTCCTCGTCCCTGACGTCAGAGAATTTTCAAATCTGTATCATCCGTTGCAGCCCCGTTTTTAGAGATTTGGGTATGGAGGAAAAGAGAGGGTTGTGTTTTCTGACACTTGGTGAGTTCCCTGACACACCGGGGACACATATTCATGTATAAAAGACGAACAAAAGTGCATTTTGCATGATAGGTCCCCTTTAAGAAAATGTCATTTCAGTTCCAAACTTCTAAATACATCACACAAAGTAAACCCCTTCCCTATCTTCCTCTCGAATCTCACTACTACCTTCAGCCTGTCACTTGTGTATAATGTGAGAATGCCAGCTTTGCATTTTGTGTACAAGTGTTGTATTGAGTTTGTATGTCGAGTATGGAATATGTTACCAGACTTGGAACCACTGTGGGATGCGGTTACCTCGACTCTCTGTGTATGGAACAATCTACACCTCTTTCTCTTTTCCTCTGCCAGCACATTAAACACGACACTGAGGTGCGGTATGGCTGCAGATCATATACTCTGCCTCCCAGGCACTAAAATTTGGCTCCATTTGAATAGATATGTAACACAGTCGATAGAGTTCGGAACCCAACCCTAAAAGATAAGAATTGTTTTTTACCCTGTAGAAACAGACTGCACGCATAAGTTTTGTTTCCGCCGCTGAGCCAGGACACATCGAAGCTCTTAGCTAAGTTAACTCTAACATGTGGGGGTAAATATCTGTCATGTTTAGATAAAACGTGATTACTGATTTGGTTAATCTTGCCCTCAGGCCTGGTGATGCTGGATGGCTTTGTGTATGCAGTGGGGGGGTGGGAGGGGGGGTCCCGCCTGGACTCTGTGGAGTGCTACAACCCTCACACCAACTCCTGGCAGTTCACTGAGTCGGTGAAGATGGCCGTCACAAGCCCCGCTGTGGTGGCCCTGGACGGACTGCTCTACGTTACTGGTAGGAAACACAGGCTACACATGTGAACGTTTTTCCTGAGGTTGTGCTTTTTGACTAAAATATTTGCAGTTTTACCACTTATTATGCTTGTGTCAACCTGTCCTGGTAGGTGGAGCCGTTCTAGAGGATGGTGACGGCTCAGACCTCGCTCAGGTGTACAACCCTAAACGCTCGATGTGGACCGAGGTTGCCCCCATGCAGATCGCCCGCTCCGGTTCAGCTGCTTGCACACTCAAAGGAAAGATTTATGTTATAGGTATGTAACACACTTTACAGCAGCTATTCCCCATCATTGTGCCTCAGAGCATTATTTAGTGGGAGTGCAACATTTAATACAAAATAAAATGTTGATAAAATACTAAGCAAGTTTTTGGATAAATGTGCGCAATAAGAAGTTATTTCTAGGGCCGGGACTTTAACGCGTTAATTAAGATTAATTAATTACACAAAAATTAACGCGTTAAAAAAATTAACGCATTTTAATCGCACTTATTTTTGTACCGCGGAACGTTTCTCACTGGATGAGTTTCAGGCGTATCGATTATACTGGAGCACCAACTAACGTTCATGACTTCAGACAACAACAAACCACAGTGAACAACAGTGGGAAATGTTGTTTTAAAAAACGGACGGATGGAAGCGTCGATAAGAGCACGGTTGTGTGCAAATTATGCAAAAAGGAATTCGCATATCACCGCAGCACATCAAGCCTCAAGTATCACCTCAATGCAAAACATATAGCAGCTAGCGTGGACGTTAGCCTCTTTTATCGCGTTCACACCAAAAAGAGCCGGTGCTAAAATGAGTTCATGAGAACCTTTTTACCTCCACGAAAGTCCCTGCTAGAGAGCAGAGAGCTGCTAGAGAGCAGGGACTTTCGTACGGCTCTCTTGTGAGAAAATAGCTATATTTCTGATTGGCTGGGCGGATTGCAAACCACGCCCCGTAAAACTCCCAAAAAGTGTTGTGAAGCCGCCATTTTATTATCCTCGCATTAGCATTATTAGCATTAGCCCAGCGCAGAAACGCAGAGAGACTAACTTATGGCAACACAAAATAAAACATGGGAGCGGTGGAGATGAGGAGGTGTCGGCGTTCTGGCGATTTACTCGGAAGGCTGCTGGGACTCCCAGCAGCTTCTACTGAAGCCAGTCCCCAACTCCAGGGACTTCCGGCCGGGGACTTTGGGCGGCAGTATACGCCGTGAAGTGGTTTGCGGCCTGCCAGTAAACCCAAAGCAGAAGAAGAAGAAGTGACGTCAGCGGCTTCATTTGCCTAATCCACCCCCAGGTTCAAAGAGTTCTCATGAACTAAATTCTCATGAACCTTTGTGGGAAAAGTACTGCGGTGTGAATGCGCCTAATGGTATACTAAAATCCATGTGAAAAAAATTGCTTCTCACTGTTCTCAGGTCAAATATTTATATGTGATTAAAAATGCGATTAATTTCGATTAATTAATTACAAAGCCTCTAATTAATTAGATTAATTTTTTTAATCGAGTCCCGGCCCTAGTTATTTCGACACACTAACATGTAATGCCCATGTTGGCCACTGTTTACATCTGATGTACTAATATAAAATGATATATTTTTTAGAAACTAAAACATCATGAGGGAGATGACTCGTAGCACTAAGCAAAGTACAAAGTATGTGGTAATGAAATATGAGCTTGAATAATTTACATTTATATTTAGATAATTTATTGAAATCATTACTGCTGACAGTGGCAAGACATTTTCAGCCCAGATTCTTTTTTCTCTTTTTTGTCAGGTTACATATTTTTGTTTGGCTGAAATGTTTAAACAATCAGAAATGGGCACTAACTTACAAAAGTTACAATCTTCTTTTATAGCACCCGACAACAACACAGCAAGACCTTTTTATATACATTGAAATCAAACAAGATCATGACGATCTCTTGTTTGTTCTCACAGGAGGATGGCAGGCCTCAACAGAGAACACAGATAAGGTGGAGTGTTACAATCCAAAGACCAACAAGTGGACCATGTGCGCCCCCATGAAAGAACGACGGTACCGGCCAGGGGCGGCAGTGGTGGATGGAAAGATCTACGTCCTGGGAGGAGAAGAGGGCTGGGACAGGTGAGGGGCTCATCTGGAACATTTTGAAAAGTTGCTTGTCAATGTAATGTCATCTGATCCCAGCAGGAACTTCTGCATGAGTCCAGGATTTGACAATAAATTAGGGCTCAACAGTTGATGATAATTGAATGTTATCACCATCACAAGATGGACTATTGCAATATCCAAATCCGAGGAAGGCAAATATGTGAAAAATTCCATTCATTTGTTTTTTTAAACTCTGTTTTTAAGAAGATCCTCATGAAAAACATTACAGCACGATCATTTCAAATGTTTAAATGAAATAAGAATAATGATACAAAAATTATTATTTTCTTCCATTATCATGAGGCGTATCACAATATCAGCCACAATAATCCCAGTAAGATATTGTATTTATTTAAAAAAAAGAATGAACTGCTCTTATGCAGTTCGAATGTGAAGTGGCTTTTTTTTCTTGCATTAAAACCAAAAGACATTTACAGCCTTCCTACTCCTAATGCTCCTTCCCCTGTACATGCAGATATCACGACACGATCGAGAAGTACTGTGATGAGACTGACGCGTGGGAGATCGTCGGGGAGATGCCCACCAGTCGCAGCTGGCTCAGCTGTGTATCTCTCCAGCTCAGGAAGGACATCCACATGTGCTGCTTACCCGGGACGACAAACGACATTTGAGCGACAGTGTCTGAATATTTCGTGGTTGTTCATTGCACCCTCATTAGGGGACAGTGCCCTACAAAGCTCAGAGCTGTGGAGAGCAGCTGACTGAGATGGGATGCCGGGATCTGGCATGGCGCTGATTGAGCTGTTACCGGCGGCAAAGAGTAGTCGGTTTTTGATCGACGTCTGCTTGTGGAATGAGTCACAATTGTGTCCCATTTTTGCCTTGATGACAAAAGATATATGGTACACAGATATTAAGTTACTGATTGACGATCGAGTCAGCAGTCTGATCTGGCTCTCTGTATGTTTACGGTACTGTTTTGATGTCCGAACACCTCAAATCTGTGAAAAGCCAACATAGTGTATTTTTGTACCGTTATAATGATGTGATGTATTTATTGTGGTGTAATTAGCTGTGAGAAAGATATTTTAAAAAATGTAAACAGTTTACAAAAGATTCTCTATGGGCCAAATAATCTTTCTGTGAATATTTCTGAAGGTCACCCGTGAAAAAGTTGTCTATATGTGAGCTGTGTTTTTGTAAGTAATGCTTTGTAAGTTCTGAATTATGGTCTTTACTACCTGTAATATGTTGATTCTATTTTTGTAATGTGTGTCATGCATTGTAGTGACTTTTAATGGAGTGGGTTCTAATAAATAGTTTAAATTATGTATTGCGAATGCAATTTTTATTTTGTTGTTGCTATTTCAGAACGGCCTTAAACCACTTGAAACGTTTTGCAAATGTGTATATTTAAGCAAAGCCAGTGGAAAATGTCCACTATAAAGTAAAGAGATATTAGACCAAGCTACGTATTGTTTTTATTTATTACATTTCATTTTGACTCAATATGAAGCCCTGATATATGAAAGGCTACTTCATAATTTAGCTTTTATTGTTCAAGCTTCACTCACGTCATTTAAAATCTCATACTCATTTTTCTTGGCAGTAATGGGATTCCCTCCTAAACTAGACATAATTAGGGAAAACATCTTAGTATGAATATCTTTATGTATACTATCAATTTATTTATTGACCACAAAACGAAGTTTATAATAGTTTTGGTAACTTTGAACCTCCTGCAAAAGTTTATCTTGAAGTCCTATATAATCTTTGATCGTCTGCTAGCTGCAGTGGATTCTGGGTAATACGACGCCAGCCGCCATATCTGTCTTTCTGTACCGGTTGAAGGAGACTGGAGTCATGAGAGGAATCCGATCCCTCCACAATATCCCCGTGAGTCCCGTTTTTCTCAGTTTGATATAAGCCGTGTAACAGTCAGGAGTTCAACTCATTGTGATTCTGGAGCTGCTTGAGAGGGGAATTAAGCTCCAGTTAGCCTGCTGGCTAGTTGGCTTGCTAGGTGGCTAGCTAATGCAGGTTTATCTAACATTAGGCTTGTTTTCATGGTTTCATAATCACACCCTGAAGTCAGTCACATGTACAGAAAGCCCAGTTTAACGTTACGTTTCCAGTAAAACAGTTTATGAAATACTTATAGCTGTGTAGCTTGTTTTTGGTTAGATTCCTGCAACCTGAAGGTCATGTCAGAAGCCAGGTAAGGTTTTCCCAAATATTTTGGTTGAGGTGTCTCCAAACGAAAAACACCCCTTAATGTGGTCATAGCTGAGTGACAACCAGATATTTTACGGCCACAGGATTTGTTTAAACGTTACAGGAAACATGTGCAATGTTATTTGTGTTTATACTGTAATGTTAGTAAAGTTACACGGGTTATTTCGGGACAACCTAACATTACACTGACACACCAGCTCTGCTTTATGACCGGCTGTCAGTGACAAGCCAGAGGTGGAAACTATCATTACTTATTTGTGCCCAATACAAATGTTCAAGTCTTTTAGGCTTTGTCATGCTGTATTTGATCTTTGGGCACATGGTACTACTTACAAATATGTTGTATTATATATAGAACAACACGGAGGAGGTCCCATACGCAAAGGCTAATAATTATAGTACACAAATGGCTGTTTCTCAAAAACTACATGGGGCATGTTGAATATCAAAGGTCTGTAAACATGCACACAGAATACAAATATTGCATTTGAAATACATCTTAAAAACACAATGTTTTTCCTGACTTAGACAATGTGTAATACAAAGTGTAATAATCAAACTTGATAATACTACAAATATCATCATATAGTGCATACACCTGTTGCTTACCTGTTGTTAGTGATATGATCCGACCCCTCAGATTTACTTTGGAGGAGGGGCAGGGAAACACAAATGTATCTCTTAAGCCCTCGTGTACTTGTATCAGAGGTTGATAGGTGACGGCTGCTGTAAGGAAACATTAGAGGTCATATTACTCTTCGTGGGCCAGATTGTCTGATAGGGGATCCTATCCATAGTCAGTGTATTACTAACAGTAAATATCGCTCCAGTTTTTAGAAACATACCAGCTCCTGGGCTGTGGACTGGGGCCTAAGCGAAACATATTTTAGCCACCTTAAAGCTGGTTTAATTTGTTGCTATATTTAGTTTATTTTGACAGCTTTACCTCGCTGTCAGACAGTCCCTTTCCAATGCTAATGCTGTCAGTAAAGACAACTCATCTTTAGGTTTCACAGGATACCAGTCTTTGGTTAAACTTATTTTTCTTTAATCCTTATGTTGAGTCTGTACCCCTTTTTAACTGGAAAACACAAGTCAAGAGCAGTGAAAGAAAACAAGATGCTTGTGTTAAATCGTGTGTCTCCTCTTCCTACAGAAACGCTGCTATGCGGCTGCCAGGAGGAGTCCAGCTCTCACTGAACCCCTCGCTCTGCCGTCCTTAGCTAAACCTCTCCCTCCCCAAAATGTCCAGGTAGGCACTGCTCACATATAAATACCCATATCTGTTTCAGCCTACAATCACGCTGGACATTGTTTGATTGCAAGTTCCCAGTAACAATTGTTTTTGCTGCTTCAGGTGTCTAAACTTCCCAACGGTCTGGTGATAGCATCGCTGGAGAACAACTCCCCGCTGTCCAGTGTCAGTGTGTTTGTGAAAGCTGGGAGTCGCTATGAGACTGTGGAGAACCAAGGCGTCTCTCATGTGCTGCGACTGGCAGCAAACCTGGTAACTTGTGGTTGTGTGTTCTGTAGCTGCGTACTGTGTACTTCTCCTGAGTAAATGTACTTTGATAAGCAGTATCTCAGCCATTGGACTGTTATATCTTAACCTGTTTATCACCCACGTGCTGTAAAAAGTTGTTGAAACACTTTGTGTTGTGTTTTAGACCACTAAGGGTGCATCTGCCTTCAAGATCTGTCGTGGTTTGGAGGCACTGGGGGGCAGCCTGAGGTCAGTGATGGTACTCTCTGCACATGCACACACTGACAGTCTAAAAATAAATACCAGTGTTACCTTATAGCCCCATTGATACATCTGTGTTGTCACCTGTTTACTTTCAGTGTGACATCATCAAGGGAGACCACCGTCTACACGGCAGGATGCATGAGAGACAACATGTAAGTGCTGCTTTCTTTATGTCAAGCCTTTAATGCTGTTCTACTCCCATGTTGATGACTATGTAAGTGTTAACATGACTGTATCTGTGTGTGCAGAGATTTATTATTTGAGTATCTGGTCAACGTGATCACAGCTCAGGACTTTCGGCCGTGGGAGGTGTCCGGACTGACGTCAAGAGTGAAGATCGACAAGGCTCTGGCTCAGCAGTGTCCTCAGATAGGTCGGTAGCAACAGTTCAGCTCTGAACATCCTGCTTTCTCACTGTGGTAATGGAGTCAGTCTGTCATTATGTTGAGTCGAAGGAGAGCAATTGTACTCAAAGGACTTTAGGTTCAAGGCTATCAGAAACATTTGGTAAAAGGTAACGGCTGCACACTTAGTCCATGCCACCAACGTTCTTTAAATGACTCCATTAGATTAATTATTCCACTACTTTACACTTCATTTTATTCTATTTTACAAGTACACATTTGACTTATTCCTTCCTTTACTTGCACAGTTATGTCTCCTGCACCATTATGTTGCACTATTTCATTCTTTATTTATTTTATGTCTTAAGTTTCATTGTATGTTCAGCGGTTCCTGGGACTTTAGATTGTCATGGTCACTGTGTATGCCTGCCGCTGTAACTATTGAGCATTTGACAATGAAGCCTTTAAATCTTTGAAGCCTTTAAATCTTTGAATCAATTCTTCAGTAGGATTGGCTCATCACAGGGTCTCATTAGATTTACATTTAATGTTAAAAATGCTCAAAGACCTAGTAAAAAAAACGTGAAATTCTGTGTTGGTGGTTTATCCATCTCGTGACATTTTAAATACTTATTAAAAAAATCCCCCTTTAAAAATGCAGTTAAGGGAGACAGAGAGGGGAGGTGAGGAGACATTTGTCACATTACGGAAACTAAACACACTGAATGGAAAACAAGATGTAATGTATGGAGCATGCTAACTACAGTTCTCTAAGTTTCTACTTTCTTCCGCAGGTGTTATTGAGAAGTTGCATGAAGCAGCGTACAAAAATACCCTGTCCAACTCTCTGTACTGCCCGGACTACATGGTCGGCCATGTCTCTTCTGCACAGGTATGAATCTTATTTATTAAAACATATGAATATATCTGACATAAGCTTTTTTTATTTTGCTCTAACACACGTTTCTTCTCCTTATCGCCCCCTTGTAGCTGCATTCATTTGTTGCGGACAATTTCACCACTGGGAGAATGGCTCTTGTAGGACTAGGTGAGTGTCACAGCTGATTTTTACAATCCTCAAATGTAGCCTCAGCCCAAACACAGGGGTAGAAACATATAGGCCAACAGAGATACTAATGTAGTTTAGTTGAACATGTAATGAATAAAACATGTGTCAGCATGCCTGAAGTGATTACACATACAGTGGGGCAAAAAAGTATTTAGTCAGCCACCAATTGTGCAAGTTCTCCCACTTAAAAAGATGAGAGGCCTGTAATTTTCATCCTAGATACACTTCAACTATGAGAGACAAAATGAGAAGAAAAAAAAAAAATCACATTGTCTGATTTTTAAAGAATTTATTTGCAAATCATGGTGGAAAATAAGTATTTGGTCAATAACAAAAGTTCATCTCAATACTTTGTTATATACCCTTTGTTGGCAATGACAGAGGTCAAACGTTTTCTGTAAGTCTTCACAAGGTTTTCACACACTGTTGCTGGTATTTTGGCCCATTCCTCCATGCAGATCTCCTCTAGAGCAGTGATGTTTTGGGGCTGTCGCTGGGCAACACGGACTTTCAACTCCCTCCAAAGATTTTCTATGGGGTTGAGATCTAGAGACTGGCTAGGCCACTCCATACCAGGACCTTGAAATGCTTCTTACGAAGCCACTCCTTCGTTGCCCGGGCGGTGTGTTTGGGATCATTGTCATGCTGAAAGACCCAGCTACGTTTCATCTTCAATGCCCTTGCTGATGGAAGGAGGTTGTCACTCAAAATCTCACGATACATGGCCCCATTCATTCTTTCCTTTACACGGATCAGTCGTCCTGGTCCCTTTGCAGAAAAACAGCCCCAAAGCATGATGTTTCCACCCCCATGTTTCACAGTAGGTATGGTGTTCTTTGGATGCAACTCAGCATTCTTTCTCCTCCAAACACGTCTAGTTGAGTTTTTACCAAAAAGTTCTATTTTGGTTTCATCTGACCATATGACATTCTCCCAATCCTCTTCTGGATCATCTAAATGCTCTCTAGCAAACTTCAGACGAGCCTGGACATGTACTGGCTTAAGCAGGGGGACACGTCTGGCACTGCAGGATTTGAGTCCCTGGCGGCGTAGTGTGTTACTGATGGTAGCCTTTGTTACTTTGGTCCCAGCTCTCTGCAGGTCATTGACTAGGTCCCCCCGTGTGGTTCTGGGATTTTTGCTCACGTTCTTGTGATCATTTTGACCCCACGGGGTGAGATCTTGCGTGGAGCCCCAGATCGAGGGAGATTATCAGTGGTCTTATATGTCTTCCATTTTCTAATAATTGCTCCCACAGTTGATTTCTTCACACCAAGCTGCTTACCTATTGCAGATTCAGTCTTCCCAGCCTGGTGCAGGTCTACAATTTTGTTTCTGGTGTCCTATGACAGCTCTTTGGTCTTGGCCATAGTGGAGTTTGGAGTGTGACTGTTTGAGGTTGTGGACAGGTGTCTTTTATACTGATAACGAGTTCAAACAGGTGCCATTAATACAGTTAACGAGTGGAGGACAGAGGAGGCTCTCAAAGAAGAAGTTACAGGTCTGTGAGAGCCAGAAATCTTGTTTGTTTGTAGGTGACCAAATACTTATTTTACCGAGGAATTTACCAATTAATTCATTAAAAATCCTACAATGTGATTTCCTGGATTATTTCCCCCCATTCTGTCTCTCATAGTTGAAGTGTACCTAGGATGAAAATTACAGGCCTCTCATCTTTTTAAGTCAGAGAACTTGCACAATTGGTGGCTGACTAAATACTTTTTTGCCCCACTGTACACTTTTATGGATGTTTTTCTATCCCGGGAATGTAAGCTGTTTTTCAGTTTGTGTGTGCTCTGTTCCACTTAATTTTCATGTTAACGTTAGTTTTGTCTGATTCCTGCGTGCAGGTGTGAAGCACTCTGTCCTAAGGCAGTTGGGCGAGGGGCTCCTGAGTGAGCGCAGCGGGGCGGGAGCGCCTGTGGCTCAGGCTGTGTACCGCGGAGGTGAAGCTTCAGTTTAATAACACATTTATCCATTTATCACTGGAACATTGTCATAATGCTATTGTTTTTTACAGGTGAGCTGCGGGTGCAGAACACCGATGACCTGGTCCACGCCCTGATTACCAGCGAGGGCGGTGTGACAGGAAGCGCAGAGGCTAATGCCTTCACCGTGCTGCAGAGGATCCTGGGAGCTGGGCCACATATTAAGAGAGGCTCCAACATCACCAGCAAGCTGAGCCAGGGTATTGCCAAAGCCACCACACAGCCATTTGATGTAAGTTAAAAAAGGATATTATTTGGTGTTGTTTAGTTGTAGTCTTACTGTGTTTGCATTAGTTCTAAACGTGCTGTCTTTCAGGCCACAGCCTTCAATGCCTCATACACCGACTCCGGCCTGTTTGGCATATATACCATTGCACAAGCTGACTCAGCAGGAGAGGTGATTGACTAATATACTAATTCAAAGATAAATGTTATCCGATCTCAAATCTGCATTGATGCCTGAGTCTACATTTCTCTAAACTGCTGCTTGTGCTCTGTGTAGGTGATCCAAGCTGCCGTTGCTCAGGTGAGCGGTGTGGCAGAGGGAAATGTATCGGAGGAGGACGTCATCAGAGCAAAGTGAGTTCACTGAGTAACGTTAGACAGACGAAGGTGAAGCCTTCTTTGTACCAGAACAATATGATTGACTTCTCTGCTTAGGAACCAGGTGAAGGCAGAGTACCTGATGTCAATAGAGAGCGCCGAGAGTCTGATGGAGGAGATCGGGGCTCAGGCTCTGAGCACTGCAGCGTACCAGCTCCCTGACGCCATCCTCCAGGCCATAGATGGTGTCACCCATGACGAAGTGGTCAAGGTGAGAGTCTCTACTGGTGATGCTGTTTGTCAAAAGTGAATAATTAAGTTTTGATTTTTTATCAGACAATGTATTATTATCAGTTTTTAAAAAGCTATTTCTTGCAGAAAAAAAACAGAAGGTGTCTTCAGATCTTACTTTCGGTTAAACAAAATACTTGAATTTAAAACATGAGGAAATCATCTCAGCATTTATTTATTGAGAACGATTAACATAACAAAAACCCAAAAAGTTGCACTACCGATAAATGCAGAAAGATAATATAATGTGACAATTGTTATTAATTAATTAAATAGAGTTGTATTGGAGTTGTAATTGACCACTTAAGAAAATGCTTTAAATTAAAGCGTTTCCTCTGACCTTTACTTGACAGGCTGCGAACAAATTTGTGGATGGCAAGAAGACCATGGCATCTTGTGGACAGCTGTTGAATACACCTTTCGTTGATGAATTATGAAGATAAATCATAAGAACGGTTGGTTTTATTTCTGGCTCGCTGTGCCGGGATGCTTCAAAGGGAAAGAGGACATTAAAGCCTCCTGCAACAATTCATCTGATGTCACCAATCATGTGTCTGTCCTGCAGTAAGTGCACCAACAAGGACCTGGAGAATCATAATGCAATATCTTTTTTGTTTTCTGTCAATTGAACTGTATATCTATGTAAATTAAAGAATATGATAACCACTGGCTGTTGCTTGTATTTGTATCTTGGAATGAATCCAGATGTACTTAAGGTTCATGTTTTATCAGGAGAGTTGAGGCATCTCTGTTAGGGCTGTTCAGGCAGCTGGTATTTTCAGCATTTCGAGATGTTGTTCCATTCTTCAACCAATGGAGGGACACAAAGGCACAAACATGACTAAGCAGGATTTAACGTTGCCAATGCTGAACATCCTACGTTACATTTTTAGCAGTCCTGTTTTCACTTCTAATTATGTTTGCAGCATTGTTAAGTATAATTCACTAAAGAGAAAAGTAAAACCAGAATGATATACATAAAGAATACAAATAAAAGTACTTTAATCATAAGACTGCATTATCTTGTGTTTTCTGAGTAAAATGTTTGTCTGCTTTCTGGCTCATTGCTATAGCTAAGATAAACACATTTAATTAGTTATTTAAGCATAAAATGACAAGTGTAAACTACAGTCAATGCAAGTAGAAGTAGTACAATGTTAACATTTTAAATGCTGGAACTTGTCAAAAGTTTACTTGAATGATGAATTGGTTATTCAAATTGTTGGCAATTTTTTTTTTCCTCTAATTTGAGCTGTATTTCAACCACACTTTTACTTTTGCCTCGTGAGAATGTATTATTGTATATAAAAGGACAATTTACAAAATATTAAATTGAACATCAAAAAAGTGCATAAGAGCATAAAGCATAATGAAGAAAAGAAAACTAGAAGGTTATTAGGTAATCCATCCAAAAAAAGGACATGGTACAGTGTTATTTTGACATGAAAATGCATAATAACATTTCAAAGACATGTTTAAATAAACTAGAAATACATTAGAATATTCTCATGGACCACTGCATGAACAGCCTTAGTTCATATTGTACTTAAATGGTTCAAATTCCCAACATTCACAGCACCCCTGTAGCAATCACCGACCCCACCAAAAAACTGCCTCCCAGGGCGACTCAGGTCACCCTGAATCCCGTTTCTGCGTAGTATCGCGAGAAGACAGTGAGTTGTGTCGCTGCGTGGGGGTGTTCGCCTGATGTCATTAGGCAGAAAGGGAGGCTGAGATAACGGTGGGCACGGGTGGAAAGCAAAACAATAACGCTTTACCGGTCACACAGGGAATAATAACGGCTGTTTAGGGGTTAATTACGCTGCGTTAAATACATTCTCCTCAGTGTTGTCCGTAGAGGAAGAGGAGGAGGAAGAGGAAGTTAACGGACAGAAGGACCAGATGCTATTCCAGCGGAGAACGGGCTCGAATAAGCAAGACACGGTGATGGGTTCTCCTGACGGCTAACCTTCGCTTGAAACACGGACACTGCGAAGAGAGGGGGACCTGTTTGCTTCTTCTCCACCTCGCTGTGTGTGTGTGTGTGTGTGTGTTTGACATTGTGTCTGAAATGCTAGCACAGTTGCGGTGTCGGCCGTCGAGCAGCTTCTGGGCCGCAGCTCGGCACACCGAGCCCGAATCTGGGAACTAGCTAGCTAGCTCTGTGCTAGCCGCAGCTGTACCCGATGCTGCTGTTGCTGCTGCTGCTAAACGGATCCACACAAGAGGTTCGGGGCCCCGGCGCTGAGTGAGCTATTGTTTTATCTTACTGGACTACAGCGGGCATTTGAGATGTGATGCTTTTGTGCGTCGTTTTTGAGCCGTTTGTAGCTGGAGGCTCTCGCTTGCTTGAGGAGCTAACGTTGCTGCAAAATGCAGAGCAGAACCACGGGCTCCTGTTGAAGGGGGCGAGGTTAGACTGATAACAGCCCACCCTGTGTCTCTCTACACTCGGGGTCACATTTGGACAACGACCACATTTTCTCCACGTCATTCACTGCTTCCTCAGCTGGAGATATGGATAAACTCACGATCATTTCAGGGTGCCTCTTTTTGGCAGCAGATATCTTTGCAATAGCCAGCATTGCAAACCCAGACTGGATCAACACTGGTGAATCAGCAGGTAATGAAGCAGGCCACAACTGTCATTAAGAACCACTGTGATGTTCTGTGATTTAAGCAGGACTTCTCGCCACATCTCCCCCCCCCCCCCCCCCCCCCCCCCCCACGCTGCAGGAGCCTTTAGCGTCAGATAATCTCCATAACAAAGATATGCTCTATTGTGTGGAGGCTTTCATGTGCATCAACACCTTCTGTCCGGCTCAGCAGTGTTTGTTGCTTCTTACTGACTTAAACCAGTACTTACAATTTCATACCTGAGTGATCAGCATCATAAACCTCTGTTGCTTTAGGGCTGCAACAAAACTATTGTTTCCATATGACTTTTGATAAATAGGTGAATTGCTAGTAACTCTTCAAATAGCTTGCTTTGATTAACAGTAACACAAAGAAAACACATTTTAAATGACTAAGGATGTATAATGAAAAAGAGCTGTACATTTGGAGACTCTCTTCCTTCAAAATAGTGCTGAAATCTTTAGTTGAATAATACATTGTCGGGTATTTATTCGAAGTGATGAATCAACATTTTATCAAGCATTAAAATGCCTTTCTCTTATACAAAACTGTGTGAATAGAATATGTTTGGGGTTTTACACAAAACAACCAGTTAAATCATGTGTCAGTGAGTTAAAGGGACATTATGTAGACTACAGTCGACTTATGGAAAAATAAATCAATCATGAAATAATCACTGAAGCCTTTTTTCTGCCCACTTTCTAATTGATTAAGCGGCCTATCATTTTGGCCCTAAAAGTAAATGCTATGCTCTTCTTCTATGGTGACCTGACGTTTGAAGTCACCTCCATGTGACCAATCAGCTGTCACTTGAGGAACCAAAGCAGGTGTTCATGTGTGGTGTCCCTGCTGATTTTGGACAGAAGCACGTGCTGTTCGTACCCTGCTTTATTTGTGTCAGTCCTGAAAACACATTCAGGCTATTGATAGACAGCTGCTCCTCTCTTTGTTCCCTCTGCAGGATGACAGCTTAGTAACTGGGTCAGGAAGGGTCCATCACACACACACACACACACACACACACACACACACATCCAGGCTGTATTAGCTCCACAGAATCTGTACAAAAGTAATAACTGAAATGAAATGAGGGCATCGTCTACAATGCTTGCCATTTGGTTGTATTGTAGAGTTCCCGTCTAAAGTTAGTGAAGTAGAGCCGAAACGTGGACAGCTACATCCCATTAACCCTTCCTTACAGATACCCTGCTGTAGGGCTGCTCGATTATTTAGGTCAATAATTGATATCACAATTATTAAAAACGATTATCCATTTACTTTGAAAACATCAATTTATTGTAAAAAAAAAAAACGGAACAGTATGTTTTTAACAGCTGATTACCCTGAACTTTAAGAATACTTCAACTGAAAAACCAATAAAAAAAAGTAATAATGATACAAAAATAATCGTTTTATTTCGATTACGTTGTTTTCGTAATCGTTGCAAGCCATAATCGTAATTGAGCAGCCCTACCCTGCAGTGTTGAGAGTGGGTGTCGTGTTGTAGGTTTCATACAGCCACCGACTTCCACCTCCCTGTCACTCTTCTCACTTCCCCTCACAGCTTTCACAGCACTCTTTGATGATCGTGATGTGACCTGTCTTGGATGGGTTTATGAGACATGAAGGTGATGGAGCACGGACACACATCCCTCTCTTGCTGTATTCAAATACATGATTGTAAACTAGGTTTGAAATCTAGTCAATATTCTGTAGTGTTCCTAGGTTTGGAAAGATAGTTATTATGCTTGTAAAATATATTTTGACTATAATTTCACCTTGAGAATTTGTTTATTTTGTCTCCACATTGGTAGGGCATGAGGTGCAATGTAGTCTTATTTCCCTAGTTTATTTTGTCAATGTGAAAATGAATGCATGTTGCTATTATACAGCTGCACATAACCCAGAAATCCATCCTTATGTGCACCTTGCGACAGATCTTAAATGGTCACCCTATGGGTTGAGTGTGTGATCTCACCCTCAAACTTTTGTATTTGTTAAGCTTAATATTAAACCATAATATTGTATAGATGACAACCACACATCACCTTTTGAGGGCACTAAAAAGTGGAAGCTGGTGCAAAAAGAACAAAGTGATCTATAAATGTACATTAATCACACTGCACGTAAAAAGGACTTTCAATTTAGGTAACAAAATGAATTCTGCTCACACGGCTATAAAGTTGGAATACATTTACTTTGTGTGTAATGGGTGTCATGTGCCAGCTCCCCTGCATATTCCCTACTTTTACATTTCTTAGTTTCAACCTGTGACCTTGGCTTCTCTTTGTCTGTACAGCTCGTCAGTTTTTGTCCCGTTATGTCTGGACTTTAATCATGGTCTAGTCTGCATCCTAAATATTGTACAGTTCATATTTAGGGCTCTGCTACAGACTTTAGTTTGATACGTATGCCTCTATTCGCGCTGACATGCTGCTAAATGGCATTCAACCTAATGAAAGTCACATTTCTTGCAGTTATTGTGCATTTGAGTGAAGTAGCCTTTCATGTTTCATAAGCTTGAGTTGTCTACCTCATTCCACAGACTTGTGTATCGTCTGAAGTTCTTATGAAGTAAGGCCCCCTCATTTTGTTATCTCTTATCGGCTTTGTTGTCTTGTCAGATGGGCTCAGCTTTTGTCGACTTGCCCTTGTTGGACCTCATTGTGCCGTGGAGAAACAGACATGTTCTTCTGGGTAGTAAGCTAAAATAAAAGCTGACTTTGCTTCTTGAGTGTAAGGCATTTGTTCCTGTTTCGGTCAAGTGATTTGATCAAAGCATTTCTTGAGAACAACTCATAGAAGTACACAAACGGAATCATCTTATATATCTAGAAATGACACAGAAAGAGCCATACCTCAGTGAGAAAGTGCACATGGCGCAGGAAGGAGTAGTAGCATAGCACTGCTGTAACTCAACACAAAAGACAAAGCATGTATCCATGACACTGTCCTCCCTTCAGTGTGATATCCTCGGGCTGTAACAGCTGAAGTTGATTTCCTGTGCCGCGCTTCAAGACAAAAGCCACTGTGGCTGTAGTGTCAGGCTCGGCACCCAACTGCCCTCCTGCAGATACTTGGCATCAGAGTGGATGTCCTCCTGCAGACCCTGAATAACCAGGGCTGAACCAAACGGTTTAAAACAAAATATGAATCTGCTATTGAAGATTAAATATATTTTGTCTTATTTTACGACGTCATCACTAGGGATTTCACTGTACCAGGAACTGAATAACTGATACCAATACTATTATGACAGTACAATTCTCATACACTATTTTTAAAAGCATTGTAATGTCAGTCAATAAGGCAGTGGAATAATGGACTACCGTTTCCCATTATGTTGATTTATCTTCACTGGACTTTGTGTTTAGCCCTCCACCATGATCCCCATGGTTAAAGCTCAACCTTCTTTACCAACATAAACTATGAACACTTAAAGCTCCTACTTAGCCTAAAAGTTATATCACTTTGCAAAGCCTTTTTTTGTACAGTGTGCTGCTGAATAAAAGAATACTGTTGATAGAGATCGTAAGCCTCGTGATAATCGTGACAGTAAAATGCCACCCTTTTTAAGCACGTGGTTTTTCAAATATAACAGAATACCTTTTGAGCATCTCTTCATCAATGGCTATAAATAATCTCCAACCAGAATTGCTGCCCTTAGAGTGAATGCTGTTCGGTAATACTTGTGTGATAATGAACAGCCACGTTTATTTTCCACTAAGTACTAAAGAGCAGCATGAGCTCCAATATGCTGCTACAGGTTGTGTTGGAGACGGAGTTCTGATTGTGCCCATAAACTCAGGCATTGTAATCAATGACACTGTTTGAGTTAGTTGCTAGATTATAAGTCTATGTTTAGCAAACAAACAACATTAAGACTATACATTGTACAGTTGTACAAAAATAACATTGTACAAAATGCGTGAATAAACTAAAAGGCCCAGGAACAGTTTTGTGTTTACAATCTGATGTCAAAAATATGAATTGGAGGATATGAAATGGTGTTATTGTAGATTTCTCTTTTAGAACACACACAGTGGCATTGATGCAAAGCAACTGAATCAGATCCAGACAATAATATCCAGATCGTCAGCGGTTACACTTCTACACTTATTTCCAACCTTGGTCACCAACAAGAAAAGACAAAAACATCAGCATCGGTTCCGAACCGCAAATGTGACTGTTCTCAAATGTAGTTTTGTGTGTTCGATGTAAAGCCTTGAACTTGCTCACACACAGAAAACTGCAGCTTTAACACGTTTTTTAACACATGCCTGCAGGTGGCCCAAATCGCAGAAGCTAGGCCAATACTGATGTTTCCTGTAGTTTGAGGCACTCTAACTCTCTACTCACTCTTTGCTTTCACATCAGCGCCGTAGGTTGTAGATTCGATTATTTTAGATTTATCATTAAACACTTAGGTTGAGTGAATGCTATTCTCTCGTGGGTTGGTCTAACATGTTTTGTATGGAAGCTTTTGCCGTTCACAGCATCTGTGTTCCAGTGTGCCAACAATGCAAGTGGGCGCTGTAACAGCCTCCAGCAGCATTGGCAGAAGGCGCAGCTGTTGGCTGCTTTAACTTGCCTACTTGCCGCCCACCACAGTTCAGAGGCCTGTTTGACTCATCCCTCTAGAGCTTTTAAAAAGCACCCCCCCCTATACTCCGCTAATGACAGCATCATCATGCTGAAGATGAGCAGACACAGACCTCATTTCCTCTCATTCAGACCGAGACATGGTGAGATGAGGATTTTGATCATAGCTGACCTGACTGCAGGGCACAATGGGGGCGAGCAAATGAGCAGGGCTCGAAATATAGTATGGGCCCATTAATTTCTACATGTGAGAGTCGAAGAAAACAATAAGATGTTTTTTAAGCTAAAGACAATCCAGTTTTGCTTTTTCTAGCAGGCACAATGTATAGTGTCACTTGCTCCGTCTCCAGTTTACTTCAATTAAAGCCCATGTACCAGATGAGG